GGGGGCACAGGAGAAGTTTGGCTGTGAGAACACAGGCTGTTTTCTTGTGCTGTTGATGCTCTAGAGCTGGACTTAACTAACATGCTGTCCTGCCAGACTCAGACCCAGCACATGCACAGATAGACAGGTGGGTTCCCATGGGGATGGACAGCAGCTTCATCAGAGGTGTTGTTGGCTGGTTCTGTGCCCTGGACAATGGCAGTGTACAGGGAAGCAGCACTGGGTTGGCAGCAGCAGCAGCTGCTATTTTTGTGCCCCACAAATCAGTGCCTGTGTCCGGTTCCCTGCTCAACACCCCTTTAGTTATGCTACTGAACTTAACTACTGGCACTAGAAGAGCAGGAGCAAGTGGACAAACAGTGCTTCTTGGCAACAGCCCTCCAGAGCACCACGGGAGCAGCACAGACATTCGTCATCAGTGCTAGTGACAATCCTTCCAACCATGCTGTTACCAGAGGGAAGTCCTGGCACTATGGAAGGCAGAGAAAGGCAACCTGCAGCCAAGATCACAGCACTTGGGCCATGTAACCCTGCTGAGTAGGATCAATCTACAGCAGCTTTTTTAAATATATTTGTGGGGGAGAGAGAGAGATCCCAGTTTTTTACCATAAATAAGTAAAAAAAAAAAAATCAAAAAAAAAAATCAATGCATGCCTCAGTCAAATAACACCCTACAAGCCATAGCAGAGGTTGTCTCCCACTGGGGTCTTTTCCCCTAAATACACCGTCCTCTTGTCACCACCAGGTCTGACCGCAGCAATGAGGCCAAGCACTATTTGAGGTGTGAAGCCCACCCCCACCTTGGCTATATGAAAGACATCCGAAGGACAGGGCTGGGGTGCCTGATGCAGGGACTTGCTTAATCACTGTGCATCCTCAGTCTGACTCATGGCCAAGCAAAGGATTCCCTCTCCAAGGCTGCCAAGATGGCCTCTCCCATCAAGACAGCCACACTCAAATAGATGCATTTTCAAACCACTGTATCATACTCACCCTGCCTCCCTGCACAGCAATCCTGCTTCTGGGAACAGCAACGTCAGGAGCAGGATTGCCCAGGAGGAGCTTGGTGCCTTTGCAGCGGTGACAACTTCTGGGGAGATCACAAGAATCTCCACTCCCCTATCGCAAGTCCAAGTGGCTCCCCTATGACTCAACAGGAGCTGCACATTGACTGCCGTGGGAGAAGGATCAGGCCCCAAGTGCATTCAAAACACATCCCCCACACAATGTGGGACCAGGTGGTCCAAACACTAGTCCCGGTTCTGCCCATCATCAACATCTTTGCTGCAGCACCATAGCAGGAGAATCAGAAGGCAGAGAATGATGGAGCCCTCCACCAGGTGAAGGGGGTGGTACTGGCAAACAGGAGAGGAGGATGCTAGAGTAAGGAAGGTCATTCTTGGTATGGCCACCATGAATTGGCGACAGGCCAAGGATGCCTAAGGTAGTAGGTTCTTTTACCCCTCCTGGACGGGTACTGCCCTGTCAAGGACAGGCCAGCCCCAGCCAAACCTTTGCCCTTGCAGCTGGTCTGTTCTCTGTAGACAGTAGCAGCCTCATCCTGACATAGGTCTCAGTTCTAGTGCCAGCTCGGCAGGAGTTCAGCCTCTGGCCACAGCTTTGCCACCCAAGGGCAGTATTCAGGAAGCAGCAGCAAGCACCCCACAGCCCCAGCACAACTCCGAGGGAGGTCCCCTTTCCTTCTGCACATACAATCAGCACCTGCCCTTGGCTGCCAGGATTTTTGCCTTAAGCTGTTACACAGGCTTCCTGGAGACATGTACAAATCACCCAAGTGTCGCTGTCACAGTGTGACTGGTCATCACTGACTTGATACACACACACATGCACACGGGCGCGCACACATACACATGCATGCAGCCTCCCACCGTACAGCTGGGGCAATGGATTACACACGATGCCAGGGGAGCTGTGACATTCACTCATAGCAGCTCTGCCCACTCTACACGGGGCCAATTTACGTGCTCAGCAAGAGCGGATTTCACCCCACGCAGCGGATCAGCCCCAGGCAGCAGCTAAGTCACTCTGAATTTCACCCTAATGAACTAAATTGCTTTCTTGAAAACCCACAGTCCTTCCTGTAAATTGGATGGCAGACTCAGGGCTGGAGACTACTAACAATGCACACCAGGGGTCAATTATTATACCAGGCACTCTCTCTAGGGGACTGCCCCATATATGGATACTCACTGCTGCAGTCACATGGAGCAAGCAATCCAGAGCCTACGGAGTGGGGTTGTGGAGGGGAGCCTACGGAGGGTGGTAGTGGAGCAGTCTTTGCAGTAGTACCTGCCTCTGTGGCTGGTATAAAGGTGTATTCAGATGGGAACCAAGGCAGGACTTGTGATTCCAGCTCTGAAAGGTGACTTGGGGAACATGAGTCCCATCCCTGGCTTCCTGTGTGCCACTGGCTACATTTGTAAGCCTCAGTCTCCCCACCTGTACCACTGGCACTGAAACCCTTCTCATTAGTGTTCACAAGCTGGTGGGGGCCATGAACGGAGAAAGGCAGGAGTCTGACTGCTCTCAGAAGGAGCCTCAAGCCTCCACTTCTTTGGCCAGGTCCTCCCACTGGACTAAATCCTGCATTCAGGCTGGCTGGGGATGCCACAGGCAGTTGGGATGTTAATCTCATTTGGTGAGAGCCTTGATTGCTCTGATTAAGCTTTGTAAAGGGTCCAGCTGGACTGCAAATAAAACCTTGTAATAGCAGCTATCCCTACTAATACATGCATGCGCGTGCACACACATATACACACACACCACTGCACAAGCTCTTTACATACACTGGAAAACAGTCTTTCTTGAACGCACATAACCAGATATTCCTGCTCTCACACACTCAAGTGCACGCACACAGGTATTCTCTATCTCTCTCTCCAC